GGTTTTCGGCCCCTCGCGGCGCTGGTGCGTGGAGTTTTGTAGGTTCGAAAATCATCCTCAATAAGCACTTGGCAGGTCGAAGGGGCCAAATAGGTCTTTTGCCGGGTTTGTAGGACCCAAATGCGGTTTTGTAGGGTCGAAAATAATGCTCAGTAGTGGGGTCTGTGTTTGTTGACTAATTCGAGCTTAGGTTGGTTTTGGAAGCGGCCAAATAGCCGTTGTTACCAGGTTTCGAGGATCAAAATAAGGTGTTGTAGGTTCGAAAATCATCCTCAATCACGGGGGCTACGTGTAGTGAATACTTGGCGGGTATAAGGGGCCAAATAGCCTTTTTGCCAGGTTTGTAGGACCCAAATGCGTTTTCGTAGGATCGAAAATCATGCTCAGTAGTGGGGTCTATGTTTGTTGACTAATTCGAGCTTAGGTTGGTTTTGGAAGCGGCCAAATAGCCGTTTCTACCAGCACACCACTTAGCTCGCCTACACTGCGCCACGGCATTTGCACACATCGCGCCACTTTTACCGCTCACCTACACTACGCCACAGCATTTGCGCGCATCGCATTACTTGCAGCGGTGCAGTTCGGTTGTCTTGCAGAATTTACATCACGCATACCTTGCCCATTCATCGTATCAGATGCGGTCAACGACCACGACGGCCTGATCGAGCCTGCCATATATCGCCGCTGGCTGAGTCTGGATGCGTTGTGATTCTTTGTAGATGTTGCTCAATAGGCATCCACATAGCGGTAATAGACAGGCTAGGGCTCAGGTCTTAGGGTTTAGGATCATCCCGGTCATAAACAGCCCATGTTTTCGGTCCGACACTGGCGTGATGGCAGGCAGTTCAGTTGTTTTGCTTAATTTACACCACATGTACCTTGCCCTTTCATCGTATCGGATGCGGTCAACGACCACGACGGTCTGATCGAGCATTCCATATCGCCGCGGGCTGAGTCTGGACGTGTGCTGATTCTTTGTAGATGTTGCGAAATAGGGATATATGTCGTGAATGTGAGGTCCAAAAACGCATTTTGGATAGCTGAAAATTCGTTTTTGGTGCTCAGACACAACCTAACCCTACGTACGAAACCTTAAACTAAGCCCCAGTTCCTGGAGCAGATTCTCAATCTGAGGACCAAAAATGCATTTTGGAGGTTCCAAAATGCATTTTCGGGCCTCAGATCCTGCCATTCGGCCCCTGGTGGCGCTGGCGCGTGGAGCGTCCTCACAAGTCTGTTCGCGATCGACGACCCTCTCGTGGTTTTCGGCCCCTCGCGACGGTGGCGGCTGAATTTTCGTCAAATCGTAGTAAAAATTTAGTGACGTTTCCGTGACCGGCTGGATTTTTGTCAAATCGTAGTACAAATTTAGTACCGGAATCGACGTTTCGTGAATGTGAGGTCCAAAAACGCATTTTGGATAGCTGAAAATGCGTTTTTGGTGTTCAGATTCAAAGGCTACCACTGCCTACACCCTAGACCAGCATCAGACCTGGCCTGATTCCTAATTTAGTAATAATAATAAGCTAGCTACCTCACATCCCTAACCCTACGTACGACACCTTAAACTAAGCCCCAGTTCCTGGAGCAGATTGTCAATCTGAGGATCCAAAATGCATTTTCGGGCCTCAGATCCTGCCTACTTGAGTTAAAGTCTTGGACTGGCAGAGACGGCGCTGGTGCGTGGAGCGTCCTCAGAATTCTGTTCGCGATCGACGACCCTTACTGGAATCGACGTTTCCGTGAGCCGGCTGCATTTTCGTCAAATCGTAGTACGAATTTAGTACTGGAATCGGTGTCCGTGAGCCGGCTGGATTTTCGTCAACTCGTAGTATACAAATTTAGTACTGGAATCGACGTTTCCGTGAGCCGGCTGGATTTTCGTCAACTCGTAGTACAAATTTAGTACTGGAATCGACGTTTCCGTGAGCCGTACAAATTTAGTACTGGATTCGACGTTTCGTGAATGTGAGGTCCAAAAACGCATTTTGGATTTGGATAGCTGAAAATGCGTTTTTGGTGCTCAGATTCAAAGGCTACCACTGCCTACACCCTAGACCAGCATCAGACCTGGCCTGATTCCTAATTCAATAATAATAATAAGCTAGCTACCTCACATCCCTAAACCCTACGTACGAAACCTTAAACTAAGCCCCAGTTCCTGGAGCAGATTGTCAATCTGAGAACCAAAAATGCATTTTGGAGGTTCCAAAATGCATTTTCGGGCCTCAGATCCTGCCTACTTGAGTTCAAGTTAAAGTCGTGGTACTGGAATTCGGCGCTTGCGAAACCAACGCAGATACCATGGTACTGGAATGCCGCGGCTGCAAAACCATCGCAAATATCGTGGTACTGGAACTCGGCGNNGGAATTCGGCGGTTGCAAAACCTCCGCAAATACCATGGTACTGGAATTCGGCGGTTGCAAAACTGTCGCAGATACCGTGGTACTGGAATTTGGGGGTTGCGAAACCACCGCAAATGCCATGGTACTGGAATTTGGGGGTTGCGAAACCACCGCAAATACCGTGGTACTGGAATTCCGCGGCTGCAAAACCATCGCAAATACCGTGGTACTGGAATTCGGCGGTTGCAAAACCTCCGCAAATACCATGGTACTGGAACTCGGCGGTTGCGGTTGCAAAACTGTCGCAAATACCGTGGTACTGGAGTACCGTGGTACTGGAATTTGGGGGTTGCGAAACCACCGCAAATACCATGGTACTGGAATTTGGGGGTTGCGAAACCACCGCAAATACCATGGTACTGGAATTTGGGGTTGCGAAACCGCCGCAAATACCATGGTACTGGAATTCGGGGGTTGCGAAACCACCGCAAATACCATGGTACTGGAATTCGGGGGTTGCGAAACCACCGCAAATACCGTGGTACTGGAATTTGGGGGTTGCGAAACCACCGCAAATGCCATGGTACTGGAATTCGGGGGTTGCGAAACCACCGCAAATACCGTGGTACTGGAATTCGAGGGCAGCAAAAGGATCGCAGATACCGCGGTACTGGGATTCGGGGGTTGCTAAACCACCGCACACGCCGTGCCATTGCAATTCGGGGGCTGCTCGCGCCGCAGCGTGCGCAACGCTCACATACACCTGGCTACAGTCTACTTGGCACGCAAACCGTTCACAAACCATTCAGGATCATTCTCGTGAGTCGTCGACACTATCTTAGCCCTCAAATGCTAATTGTAAACACACCGCAGCACCTGCACCACACACGCACACACGAAAACACATGCGCCACACACACACATACACGCACACACACAGACAAACATCGCGCACAACACACCGACACACTTACCCCGCGCACGTGCGCCGCAGCAACTACACCGCACTGCGACCGCGGCACCTAGAACACTGCCACATACGCGTCCCTTGCTCACGTGGAACTGCTTGCTTTCGGGATAATCGGTGTCTAGTTTACGCTACTTCTCACACAAGCTTTCAGCCCCCCATGTTTTGGGTGCTCAAATACTCCATGGTGTTAACTGTTGCACTTTGTCTTTTTTGGCAGTAAGTAACTAATGCTTTGCATGCATGAAGTAGGCCTATAAACCAGATAGGAAATGCAGAGACCATGCATCGGATCCTCATAAGATGAGGCGGAACGGCCAGTATTCAAGCTCTTCAACTATTAGCAGCATGTCCGAAGTGATTACGTCATATTGGGGGATCATGGGAAACAAACGGATGCGTTGCTTTTGCCTCTGCGGGATGTCTGCGGCTGCTTGTGAAACACGCATTTGATATCCATGGAGCTGGTGACAGTCAGGGAGACCCTCTAGTGCTTTGTCTCTCTGCTCCTCCAGCCCAGCTAGTAGCACTTGTACTGGCCTTAGTTTGCAACGTCGCTCACTTCCCATAGGACCTCTTTTACGGTACTTGCAACCAGAAAAGGAATCCTGGAAGCTTTAAGATGGTAGCCTGGTCTATACAGATCCGAATCCATTCAAAGGCTCATCGAGAGTCACATCACTGTCCAAGTGCCTTTGCTGTTGCTCGCCTTAGCAGCCAATGTTGGCACAGGTGTGCATGAATGGTCGCGTGCGAGACTGGTCCTCCGTGGGACGTGACCCGCAGTCGGGTTCCTTCACCAACGCTTGAGTCTTCCTACAAGAAGTGAAGCGTTTGCGAAGATGCTGGGAGTGTTCAATGGTGGATTCTGCAAGCCCTGGACTCATTTCATTGTCATCATTGTGGTGCCATGTCGTACCTATAACGAGAGCTGTTACTGGCGCGGTGGCGAAGGAGTTGACGGTAGGTTTGATGTTCTGAAGGCAAGATATTCTTGATACAAGCCGTCGCGAGCGGAGATGACAAGATTGTTGCAAGCACGGTGAAGGCAGATGACCATGATTGGGGCTCAAGCAAAAAGTCTGTCTGCAGTCCGCAACCAATCAAGTAGCATGCGTCAACTGGTGACTGTGCTCAACTTCCCAAGCACAGCCAGCTTAAAGAAACCAGATCTGCAGTGCCGTAGGCAGCGGGGTGACAATCCGTGCCAGCAGCCTAGTCTACTGTTGGTATTTGCTCGTGAATTTGTGCACGAAACTCACTCCAACACTCTTTGCTGCTGCGGTGGTTGAGGTAAACGCTCACGACGCATCTACCATGCGAAGCTCCATTCAAGTTCACGGCCAGGCCGTTGACGAGCGTCCCATTTAACTCAGAATCTTTTCGGAGTGTAACACAGCCTATTTGCGGCATATGGCGGAGGACCTTGAAGGAACGTCCGTCGGTTTCTCATTTTTCTTGATGGTCTAACATATGCAGGTATAAGATTCCGCTGAGGTTGTGGAGGAACTTCCGAGAATGCGTGTGAGGTACCTGGCTTAGTTTTGCTACGAGTAGATCAGACCTCTGGCCAGACAAGCTTTTCCCAAGGCCCCCCGAAGGTTACGCACAAACATCCTTAGGCACCAACTTGCAGAAAGGAGCCAGCAACAGCATTTGCTGACATTCAAGCCACAGTTGCTGTTGCAGGTGTTCATGCGCGGCCTGACAAGTCTGAGCCCGTGCATCATCTCAATGTGAATGATGAGGCCAAGTGGCCTGGCAGCCTGGTAGTTGCTCATTCGCCCCATCACACTGACAGGTCATGCTTGGCATGGGTCCGTGTTCAGGTCGCTGGCATAAGCCAAGGCCTTACGGGAAGTGTGCTACCAGCCATGAGCCGTGGAGAGCATAATTTGTAAGCGCTAGCATGCGCCTCGCCTTGGCAGACAAGCTCTCCAGAAGCATTGATACAAGGCCCTGTTGAACAGCACTCTTGTGGCTGAAAGGACAAGCACTGAACCACTGTGAAATCTGTGCCCTGTGTGAGGGCTGTAGCACACAAGCTACATCCAGCCCTGTGCTGGCATAATATTTGGTAAATCACCCACGGTCAGAAAAAAAAAAGAGAAACGGTCAGAAAAAAGACATCCACGGCCAGAAAAAGGATCCACGGTCAGAAAAAAAATGTGCACTGTCAACACGTGACAGACATACTTTTCAAGCCGAGAGGAGGAAACAACTATCTGTAAAATGCAGAACTTCTCATGTCCAATCTTGCGTGATTGGTTGTGGGGTTCTTCTGCAGTTGCAGCATGCTCGACATGCAACATGAGGCTTGCCACATGAGCCATTCTCAGCAGTTCCTCAGAGATGAAAACGTGTGATTCAGCTGCGAGAATGATTTGGACTCGAATTCCCCAATACGATGATTTGAAATGTCAATTTGATGAACTCGCCCCTGTCGGCCCTTTGCAGTTTCGCTGTCCAACAAGTTTGTTTGTCCGGGGATCCAAAGAAAGTCGCCCAGCACCATCCCATGTGGCATGCACCGCCACCTACCGCCCTAAGTGGTGCAGTTACAGCTTGCCTCCCTCGGTGCCTTTTCATCCCGCCGTATGCATTATCGTCCTGCGTTTGGTGCGAGAATTGTACTCTCGCCAAAGTTTCGGCTTAGTTTTAAGGATTTTGGGTGGCCTACAAAAACGTGCTCTGTTTCTTTTAGAATGTTGCTAAACGTGGGGTCTTGGCGCTATTTCGGATGCAAAGATGATTAGTACGGCAAAAGATACACGACGCACTTGATCCACCGTAATTCACAATAATTCGGGGTGCTTCAGGGTAGAAAATGCGCGTTTTCGGCGGGGGTCAAGTTTTTGTTATTGTGGCTTTTTGAAGACATTGCTTTCCTTTTTTCTTGTCATTTGTTGAGGTTCTCGCGCCGCGCGCCGTTGGCTCTGGTTATCGGATGCTCTCGGAATACCAACGTTAGTATGGTTTAGGCATGGATGCTGTGATTGTCGTACGAACGTTAATGTGGTTCGGCTTGGACCAACGGGGTGTAGCTTGGACTACAGGGAACGATCCTTGGACTAACCGGATCGATTTTTAGACTTTTTTGGACTAATGAGGCGATGATAAATCGCAACTCCTCACACTCTTGGACTAATGGGGTGTAGCTTGGGCTAATGAGAACAATCCTTGGACTAATGAGGCGATGATAAACTTAGATGGGACCCTCACACCCGTGGACTAATGTGGCGTAGCTTGGACTAATGGGAACCATCCTTGGAGCGATCCCTGGACTACTTAGTCGGTGATAAAATCAAACCAGAACCCCTCACACCCTTGGATTAACATGGACTAATGGGGCGTAGCTTGGACCAATGTTAATGGGAACGATCCTTGGATTAATAAGTAATGAGAACGATCCTTGGACTAATGCGGCAAAGCTGATTCTTTTGTCTTTGAGTGCTCCTCAACAGGGACTATTTTTTCAAGTGGGTATGAATGCTGTGATGGTGAGAAACTTCGAACATGGACATATGATGGCTCGGCCCTGGATGTGGCCAGCTTGTGTCATGCCGTCCAACATGGCCGCTCTCACATCCGGGAGGGTAATCCATCCGGTAGCTTCTTCATGGTGGCCAGCCATTGCAAGGATCACACACCCTGCGGAAGGTTGGGTTCAGGCCAATGTTTCATTCTTCCCGTAAAGCTTGAGCCCTGAAAGTGGCCAGGCTGCTACTCGAGATGGGAGACTCATCCTCCATGAAATGGTCGGTTGCAGGCCATCTCCCTGCTTGTTGTTTTGAAGGAAGAATGGTATCTTAACAGGCCAAATCTTCGACAGGAGTTTGCCTCAGCATTTCCTTCTAAGCTTGAGATGACATTGGTAGCACATCGTGCAGACTCAAAGGTCATTACTCTTCGACCTGCGTCTTGCAGGCCGAGATGTGAGATGTCCAAGCATAGCTTTCACAGAAGCTACTCCAAGTTAGTGCGTTGAACAGTTTGTTTCTGATGATATATGTATGCATGCGACAACCTTTCTTCAGTCGGTTTCGTATACTGCTTCGTGCCATATTTATGCTCTTGCTACAAGCACATCGCTGACAGGCCCCTCCTCCAGCAGCCGGCACTTGTGAAAAAGGACGGGGGCACCGGCTCGTCTTCGCTCACGGGCACATGATTCGCGCAACCAAGTCATGTGCGAGAAGGAAAGTCCTTGCCGGAAGACGGAGCATGCTCTGTTCCAGGCCAGCTGTGGGCAGCTTGCATTTCATCAGATCTTGTGGATCTACCCCGTGACAGGCTCGAGCTGCAGAAGCATGCCGCCTTTCGCGCGAAATTGCTCGACTTGAAGCAAGTGGGCCCGTACCATAGCTGGCGAAACCTTAGAACTCAGCTTGGAGCATGAATTGGCGCTTTTGTCACGGAGCTGCGTTGATGCTGCTTGAGTTGCTGTGGTAAGGCCATCCGGAACACCTCGCAAGAGCACCTTGGGTGTATTTTAGTTTTTCCAGTCTCACCTTATTGGTCATGTGCCGAAGAACGGTGCTTGCCAGAAAAAAGGCTTGTGTGAGCAGCGTGAGCAGGTGCTTAGGGTGCCGTGCAGCAGGGATGAGTGCTACTAGGATGGAGATGTGGGAGATACCGAAGTTGTTCCGCATGCTCCTGTTGAAGCTCATGCACATGAGTAGCTACCGCTCACAAGAACCTGAGGACCAGCACCAAGTCGTAAGCTGTTTCTGGTGGGAGATGCTACTTAATCAGCGACCAGGTGTCCGAATCCAACTGGTCTGAACATGGACGTGAACATGAAGACATGTCACAAACGACACCACGACACGACACCGGGATACGACTTGAGACACAATGCCACACAAGACGCAGAATACGGAGACACCAAGATGCGACCCACCCCACCCACGAAACTTATGAGAATGCTTCTTCCGATTTTGCATCCGGAAATACATTGCATTTATGATGTCATGAAGAAGAATTTGAAACTTTGGAGCACCACGGGCTTGTGATGATAGGGCGTCTTCCCTCCCATGGGTCTTGTGCACGGGCCCTCTGCACCGCGCTGCAACTACATGATAGCTTTTGGACCTATCTTGCACTCCCGTGTCCTCCCACCCGTGTCGGGAATGGAGCAGGGGGCCTGCCAAGGACACTCGAGACAATACCGCAAAAACGTTGCGGAAATCATACTTGCGTGTTCTACTGTTCTCTTTACATTACGTTGCATCAGCAGGCTTCTCATGAGTGTGGGTTCAGTAAGTGCCCTCGCAGACTCGACCCCCAGACAATTACAGCTTTCGTCTCCATGCTCTGAAGTAATTATAGAAGCTACCAGAGTGTTCTGTAAAACCTCGCAGCTCAGTGTGGCTCGGTAAAACATTGGGAGTCCACTCAGCGTGATAGATATGAATTTCAGACCAAAGTTCGAAATTGCGCTGGCGCCGCCGCAACAACAGCCACAAGCACAACTGCTTGTACAACTACAACCATACCCAAGCTTCGGCACTGTGATGGCCGGGCTGCTGATTTCTTGCCTTGCTTAAGCCTAGCATGACTGTTACGGCGGGTACCAAGGTCTGCCAAGTAGGCTGATCCAATTGTGATTTGAAAACAACTGAACTAGCAGATCTTCTGTCACAACCCGCCCCTCAATGTGGAGAAAAGGAAGCGGCCTTGGAAATGTGGGGCTACTCTCAATGCCCTGACCGGCCGCTGTCTTGATCATTTGCCTTTTGAACATGATTATCTTGGCCCTAGTTGCGAATGATCTCAGCCGTAAGGCTCAGACAGGATCAGATGTGCCGGAAGTGATCTTGGCACTAGCTTTCGAGCGATGGCTGCTGGCTTGCCATCCTGGTCAGCTTGTTGGGCCGTTTCCATAGCGGAATCCTCGCGTGGAATTTTTCTCTCCGAATCATGGTAGCCCAGGCAAGGCCCCCCAGCACGCCATCGCCGCGTCGTGGTTATCATGCTGCGCAGGCCCAGGAGTCGCTTTTGGCCAGGAAGTTCATGGCTACACAGTGCAGGCAGGAATGACCCCGGCCCCGACATCGCCCCTTCGACCAGCCGGAAGCTAAGTCATTCAGCGCATCCATTCAGCACGACGACGCTGGAACTGACAAGACATGGTTAGCCTTAGCCGCTCGGGCGAGGGTTCCCAATTGATTTGCTTTTGTTGCTACATTCTCTCTGAGCTGCTTGTCCTGTGACATTCGCGCGCGCAAGCAGCAGATATGTGATATGTTGACTGCAACAAGCATCCGATGGGCGTCGCTAGCGGAGCTAGGCTTGAGTTTAGCATTCAAGGTTTGGAAAGCAGCGAATCCTGTGATATATTATAGCATGGGGGGGGGGGGGCGCGATTCTTCCACAGGAAACTGTAATTTTGGAAGGGGGTAGGGGGGGGATGATTCTTTCACACGGACCATAGATTTGGGGGAGGTGCGGCGGGGTGGGAGTCCAAGATGATTCTTTCTGGGAGAGGGGGCAGTGAACGCAACGGCAAGAGCAGGGAGTTGCCGTGCAACCACTGACAGCATGTTCTTCACACCATAACCATTCAAGGGCAGTGGACTCGACAGCTCGAGCACGAAGGCTTGCTGCAACCAGAAAGCATGGTGTTGCTCGTGCTGCGACACCGCAAAGGAAGTGAACACTACAGAAGGAGGGAGACCAATGTAATGACCAAGCATGATGATTTCAGTACCATGAAAACAAGGGTGCCCCACTTAAGTAGGGAAACATCATGCGACCACAAGCAGTTCTTCAAAGAAGGTTCAAAGAATGAAGGCGTTGCATGCAACAACCGAACACAATGTTTCTCATAGCAGCAAGGAGAAGGGAGGTTCGATGAAAAACGATGCAACATCCAAGCATGATGTAAGCCGCACTAAGAACATGAAAGTGTACACCAGGAATTGGAGATTGGATGCAACAACCAAGCATGATGTTACTCGTGCACCTATCACAACTACCATGACGTTGCAAGGTCATGATGCGAAGAGCGTGCTGCTAGTGCTTGCATCAAGCCTCCTTCTTCCTTCCGCGCAAGGTCATGGCGCGGGTAAGCATGCTGGGTGGTTGCATCAAATCTCCCTACTGACTCGCTCTGTAGCATCCTGCTTCTGCTTGCGTGAAACCTCGCTAGCCCCTAGGTAGTGTTCCATACCCTTGCAACGCATGAGTCGAATCGATCTTCTTGGTCGTTGCATCAAACCTATCGACTTGGTCCGTAGTGGTCACTCCGGTTGCGAGGTGCTTGTGCGGGTCACCACGTGAATGTCTCTGTGAGGGGATGTGCTCTTGAATTCATGTGTTCTGTTATGGGTCACTTGACTTCCTTGCACTTAACTCCGCTCTTTTTTCTTGGCCAAGGTACGGGCAGCATCATGCTTGGTTACTACGCGCATTGCTCGGTAGTTGCATGAAATGTCCACTTTTTCTGTTGGTTGCTGCTTCATATCCTGGCATGCTTCATGGTACTAATGAAGTGGTCTCTGGTGGTCACTGACATCTAACCTCCCTGATGTTGTGCTCTGTCTGTCCTGTTCGCGACGGTTGCATGGCCATGGTACTTGTGGCTATTTGCCGTAGTTGCGTCACACCTCCCTGGTTGTTCTATCGCGTGCCAAACCCCGGCAAGGTCATCATACTAATAACATGATGCTACTGGTTTTCGAATTTTCTGCTACCCTTCAGTTTTCACAACCCCGGCAGAGTCATGATGCAGATCAACCGTGCCGGTCATTGCGTCAAAACCTCCTGGGCCCTTTGTCACGGGCGGTTGCACTGCAACTTTCCTTCCTTCTGTTGTGTTCAATACCTCTGCCTGATTTCGATGCAAGCAAGTTGTTGCTTCAGTGAGACCTCACCACTTCTGTAGTGTTTGCGATACCTACCCATTCATGGGCACGGCACGAATGACGTCAGGCTCAACAGTTGTACTGAAGCTCCTTACTCCCTTTTTGGTAGTGCGTGCCCATCATAGTCATGGCATCAAGCACGTCATGCCTGGTGGTTGCATCTGGCCTCCCTAGTTCTTTTTTGTTCTGATTTTCTGTGTGTGGTCTTTGTACGAGTAACATCTTGCTTTGTGGTTGATGCAATCTTGCTAACAACTCTTTATGTACCCTTTTCTGGCCGGAGCCCGGGTAAGATCACGCTTCGTGGTTGAATCAAACCTCTCTTCTCCTTTGGTAGTGTTCCCTACGTGTGTGTGGTGCTACGAGAAATGTCCTGCTTGATTTTGCCGTACAGCCTTTCTATTGCCGAGTGCTCCGCGGAAGGGTTCCCGTTTTCAGTGTTGGGACTCCACGAGTGACTAAACTCATTGTACACAAGCGTCCGCACAGCGTCCACAAGTCTTCGAAAGCGTTTCCAAGAGTTGGCGCGCTTGCCATCCTCGAAAGTGCTGTCACTTTTGGACCGTCGTTGCTGCGTCGCGTCTCAAGGTGCGAACAGACACGGGGCACGGGGCCAGTTGGCACGTTGATGCCGCCCTCTCCTGACTGTCCTCGCCTTTGGAGTCCACTCCACACTTTTCCCGTGCGCTCCATTGGATTCCACAATGGCGTGAGTAGCAACGTGCCTGCATTCTTTTCCAACGTCCAAGAGCCATGACAGGCACGAGGACGGAAAGAAGGTGGAGTGCAAAGTGAAGCGGACAGTGGAGTCGAGTTGGCGAGGTATTATTTTGGGGTTTCAGGCCCCTTCAGGAGGTTTGTGCGTCTTGCTGTCACGTGCCTTCCCTCGTCTTCTGTGCTAAAGCCTGCCTACTCCAGGGCAAAAAAGGTTCTGTCCGCAACACCCGTCCCAGCTCGAAATGTGATCGGTGTAGCATCAGACCACGGTGTGTCTCGAGGTGGACCTCTCCCGACGACGTGAAAGCAGAGTCTTGCACTTATCACCAAACTGTCACGGCGTAGAATCATGCCTGTTTCTCATCCCGTTGCTACCACATGCTAGGATGCTCTCCTGGAAACGGATTCCCAATGCGATCGCCGTGCACACAAGGTCCAGACCCAACTATTTTGGTAGGAGAGCGTATGGCCTGGTGCTTGTGGTAGGTTTGCCAGAGCCCGCCAGTTGAGCGACTGCGACGGAAGGCACTGGAGAACGGCAGGCCAGTTGTCTTGTGTTGCTGGAAAGACGTACTGAGTACACACTAGCAAGGCAACTTGAATGTTTGGTGTGACGTCACATTTTTCAATTGCGGCAGAGCCGTCATTGACGTACCGACTCCTACATGATTCATGCCAGACTCGCTTACCTTGAGAAGCATGCTGTTTACTCAAATGCACTTCAACCTATGGCAGCTGACCAGCAAACGAGTTTGTAAGGGCAAGTTTTGAGCGAGCAGAGCCAGGAGTCCAAAGCCACAGAGCTCCAAAGTCCCATGGAGGCAACTCTTTCGGCTCTTTCGGGGGGTTGCTTGTGGGTATTATCATGGCACCTGTAGGCCATCAGGAGGGGCTGCAACTGCGCAAAGGTCTGCCAGTTGCTCCGCCCCTTGGATGCATGATCTTGTGTGAGCTACATGACGGCTAAAAGCTGATAAGTTGATAGCCAGGACGTGCGGCGAAACAGAGCTGCGGCTCAGGCAGGGGTACATTGCATATCCCTGCAGAGCTGGCGCGCAGTTATTCGTAGGATCGAGCCTTGGGCTTGCGACGGCCAACTTCCCAACACAAGCCTGCGCCTTATAGGAACTCGTGGATGGGATTCCAACCTCATCAGGGACCACGTTGGCTTTTTTGTGCAAGAAGTTGGAACGTCATGGTTCATCAAACTTCATGTTCCAGTGCTAGTCTGAACTTCCGTACATCATCGCGAATGAGGCTCTTATCTAAAGATGCCTCAGATGAGGAGAGGTCAAGATGCATCTGGCTTTGAGTGGATGTTGTGTGGTCCGAAGCATTTACAGAGGAGGCGAAGATGAAGCTTCTTGCGGAGAATCGAAACCTGCGGGCATTAGCAGAGAGGCCGCGCAGTGCAACAGCATCTGTATTCTAGGGGTCTAAAGCCCTCGTTCATGGCCACGTCCATCTTGGCAGGCTGCAGTCGCAGTTAGCTGCTGTGGAGGACTATGGTTGCAACAAAGAGGGGGGTTGCAGGGGATAAAGACATCTCTGTGGGTGCTGTCCTGCCGCCTTACTATGACGCAGAGGGCTGATGGCTGAAAGTTCACACTGCCTTAAGCACTGCTTGCTGCGTGTATGGATCCTACCGTCACGGGCAAACCTCCTTACGTTCGTGCTCTTGCCAACTGACCATCTGCTCGCGAAACAAGCTGCTCCACTCAGCATGTGCTCATGAAGATCCGCAGGCGCGAGATTCAAGTGTGCTCTGTCCGCGAAACTGCAGGAGAGCGCCCTGACGTACCAAAATGCAGCCGAGGAGCTACAAGGCAGGTGGGGGATCCCACATCATTCAGTACTTTAGTCTCGTGTGTGAACACATCATGGGCGAAGGATAAGGAGCACGCCAAATATCCGCTGCAGCCAAGCCATAAAGCGCTTAAAACAAAGTGAAGCCAGGAACAAAAGGACTGGGAAGCATGTTGGTGCATATCACCGCCTCTGAGGAGCTTGGGATGATGCAGAGGAGGATTCTTCCATGCATGTGCGTGTCCTTGTTGCACGACCATCTACGCTTTCTGTTAAGCTGGTCCGTGCACATTCAACAAGGGGACCAAGTGAGCAACCCAACCCGTTGTTGCCAGGAATTGCTGAAGCGCTTCAGGCCATGCTCGACGGATCACACGTAATTTTATCTAACGCGAGACCGCCTTGGCAAAGGTAGTCGAGGCAAAGGTAGTCAAAAACACTGCTCATGAATTGCAAGCTGCACGTGAGCTGCACCTGAAGCCGACAGCGTGTTCACCTGCACCGCAGCGCAGCCCCGCCACCCATACCCCCCCCTGCCCCCCGCCCCCTACCCCCTCCCCCCCCCAGGTGGGTTAAACTACTCCTCCTACTCTCCGGGCCTCTGGCCTCGGCAGATCTGGGAGCCCTCAGCCCCTAAGCCTGAATCACGAGGAGAGTCTAGCTGCAGCTGCTTCTTTTGCATCGCAGAAGACTATCAAAGTTGTTTTTAAGCATGCATGTGCTGAATGAAAGGTGATGTCTCTCCACGATGCATATGACCGATGTAAATAGCAAACCGGGCTCCGATACCCAGAGTCAAGAGTGAGCGGGCCAGTTGCCGACTTGAATGATAACGAAGTTGCTCATAGCTGACAGTTTGCAACTGGCCTAACTGGCCTAGCTGGCCTGCAATCTCGAAGAAGAGATTTGAAGAAATTCGATGCATGTAGGGTCATGTCGGGTCTCTTAGGAGGTGGCGTGTGCTCTTTGCCTGTGGTCTGGTGTTCTGGTTGAAGAGGGCTCATGGGTGCATCCAGTAATTTCTCAAGCGCCCGTCCTATCTGAGTGCCTGCTGAAAATTACTGACATGGTCTTGCCAACCATGGCAGCCTGCAGAATCGGGAGGATGGGGAGACAAAAACAACAAGATGCAAGATTTCAGGTGGTTTTGCTTGAGCGGCCTGGTCAGGTTTTACTTTCTCGCTCGACTTGCATTGCTTCCGATTCCACACGCCAGCAGTTGATCAGCCCATCACGTCGGTTATTCATTTCTACCCACACACTGTCCGAGTAGCCGCACTTTTAGTCACCAGGCCGGTCATTTTCAGACCCCGTTCAATTCAACTGGGGTGTGCCACTCAGATGTTGAAGTGCGGCTGTGCCTGAGGCAAAGTGGCTTACAGCTTGCTTCACAAGCAGTCGCAGGTGTGTACCCGCAGTGAGCACTTTACGCAGGTCATGGCCGCAGATGGGGTCCGCTGCTCCACTTCACCCGAGCAGATGGCTCTGATGAGTATGAATCCATAATCAAAAGAAACTCCATCGAGTCAAGGTGTTCCTTCTCATATGATGGGCTTGACTGGCTGGAGGCATGGGGACATTTGGGGCGCATGGTACCATTGATTTGAATTCACATGAATTCACGGCAGTCACTTTCGGACGTTTTTCTTCTTCAGGGTGGAGATGAAGGGCCCACGGGGCCATTGGCGCATGCCTGGCTTCTTTGCATCCACCAGAGCAGTTTTTGCGTTGCTCAGCTCGCATTGAGGGATGATCTCAGTGACAGGCATGAACCTGGTTGGGACTTTTTCGTAGTTCCCATCAAGACTTCGAAAGGCCTCCACATAGCTGCGCTTGATGCTTCTGCTGTCTTCAAGCTTGTGATCAAGATGTGTGAGGACCTACCTTCATCCGCGTCAGGAGATCCCTTCCCATTCGGCTGGCAGAATTCTCAGTTGAATCATGGCAACCTGTGGCAAGGAAGCGTGGCTCAAAATCTGTGTACTCTCGTTTTCTGTTCAGAAAACCTCGAGACGCTCAAAACTGGACTCCCTGCACGGGCATGTCCATCCCCTTGGAGGCTAGTGGCACGTGGGCAGTCCGGGACTACCTGTCTCCTCATGGGCAATCACAGGGTGCGAACAACAGGTACCACAAGAACCGGCTCGCCTGTTGCAAGATGTTGCTGGCGATCCTCGATTTTGTAGTGAAAGGGCGTGCCCCCACTCACTTGTAACATGCCCGCAGAAGAGAACACAGATTTTGAGTTCACACATGATGGTGTGGCCAGGGCAGCTACTTCGCGCACGGGATGTAGCGTGAACAGAAACTGGAAAACACCTACTGTGCTTCAATACACATTCAGAGTCGCCAAACCTGAAAAATCCGAAGCCTTACAGGATGGCAGGAAGTTGGTGTGCAAGCAAGTTTCACGGAGCAAGGTTCGCGTCTATGGGGAGTGGCCCAGCAGTGACTCTGCACTGGCCACGGTCTTGCACCCAGGCGGTGTGAAGGAGAGACATGGAAAGTTGCAGACCGCAGACGACATGTAGAAAACGATGAACTGCTTAGCTGCTTTGGAGGAGGCCGAAGTCAGCCTGCCAAAGTCTGCAGCAAAGTTGCAGAGGCTGCTGGTTGCAGTTCTGCTCCAAGCATGTGATCTGCAGCTACTTATAACCTGGTGGCTTTCATCACGAAGCTATCAGGTTTGCCCGCCTGCAATGGCTGCAAGCTGCCAGGGTGCCGTTCCAGTTTCAATGCAATTCCATGCACAATATTATACAGTGACGCACTTGTTTGCAGAATTTCGTGTACCGATTCTCAGGTGCTCAAGACGAGACCGAGACCATTGGAGTGCCGAGGTGTGGCTTTGACTCCTCAAGTGCCCCAACACCGCAGCCGCCAAGGGTGGCAGCAAGTTGCCGCATGCGCTAAGTTCTAAACTAAGTTCCTCAAATTGCTTGCAGGCTTGGTCGACTGAGTGGCAACGCATACAGCGCAATTGGTGCAGCAGCTGTAGCTGCTGCGGAAGCAGAGGCTCAAGCAGCCGAGCTGGAGAAGCGCGCTGCAGAGGCTTGCAGGAGACCTTATCTATCAAGTTATTTGCGACGTCAAGGAAGTATTTCGCCATCGTCTTCAGATCTCTCTACTTGCTCGAGTGCCCAACATGTTGCGACAAGGCCGGCCGAGTTGATGGCTTTTGCTTGTGCGTCTCGTCCTTGGTCGTACTTGTGCAAAGAGATGCAAGGTCGAGCAGCTCGACGCCGCGAGGGCTCACCACAAGCGCCATCCTTTGTCAGCTTTATGAGGAGGAGGTACTGACGGCCTTTGCAGCTGGAGAGAGCTGTGGTGATGAGGGTCTGGACTCCCTGAGTGGGAGTCGGCAAAAGAACGCGGAGATTGATCGTTTGAGGAAGGAGCTTGAGAAGGAGCGCTTGGCAAGGCAGGCCGCTGAGGCCAACGCAGAGCAAGCGGTCGACAGAGCCCGTGCGCTCCACCAGGAATGCAGCTTGCTGCAGCAGAGGCTGCGAAGTGCAGAGAGGCGAACGATGGCCTTAGAAATGCAAGGCCGCCAGTTGAGCACCGATCTCCAGCGTGCAGAACTTGCAGCATGCACTAATTGGGCTCCTGCAAAGTCCTTGGAAGACGTGGTGTCACAGCTTGTGACACTGGAGATCCGGCAGCTCCAAAATTTGACAGCGGATGAGCGTGCAAGCGTGAAGCGCAGGCTGCTTCTTAGATGGCATCCTGACAAGAACGCTGGTACTGGAGGAGGGAACGATTTGGCAAAGCGGGTGCTCCAAGAAATGCAGGCGCACCCCTCTTGGGGTTGACCAAAGTTTCACAGCTAATTTCGGCATGGCAGCGTTGCCTTGCTGAGACAAAGTCATAGCACTTTGCTTCCCCTGTTGTCTCACAAATCGTCTGATACTTCTAGAAGTGATGTAGGCCTGCAAGTTCCAGTAAGATCTGAAGTGGATCAAGTCGAGGGCAAGGTGACTATGTCGGAGCAGCTGGGTGAATCACTGCCATCGCTGCCCCCAATGAGGACGAAGGCTGGAAAATCCGGCTAACTGCCCTCAGTGAGCAAGAAAGTGCAGCATATTGAAGTGATGGTTGAGTATGTTTTAGATGATTGGCACATCGAACTTCAAGAAGCTAGTGAGAAGTTTGCAATCACGTTGCCATGCCACCGGATCGGGCTCGAGCTTCAATCTCAACCGGTCAGAAGGCTAGGGCCAATGAGGCAGCCTACCGTGCCGCGGTTCCTTGGCAGAATAGCTTTGCACATCCAAATCCAGGACGTGCCTTTTTGGTTCAGGGTGCCTCCACAATAGCTCAACTTCTGCGGTTTAGATGGTTTTCAGAGGCATGAAGATGATTCAGCGCCCTACCGAACGCTCATCCAAACGACATGTTACTGTGTGAAGAACCACCGCTCCCGCCTTCCTGCGTTGTCCAGAGAGTGCGATTGCCGTCGCCATTGTTTGTCTCTATCGTGTTATGAGTCTTCTTCTGTCCATCCCCGTGACTAGAAACACTTTCAGTGTTGCGATTAAGGTTCTCGGCTCAAATGGAGCGGGCTCGGGTTAGCATTGCCATGGTTTTCTCGTTGTCGGTTTTACACTGCTTTTTACTGAATTTCCTGGCTTTGCTTGCGACTGGTTTTATATTGATACAGAGTCCCATGGAGACACAGCATGAGCCGCCTGGGTCCCAAATCCCAGGGCACGCGACTGGCGATGGTTTTGCTGGAATGTATAGATTGCGTGTAGAACCGAGGGTTGGTCTGTGCACCATGAGCAGACCGAGAGCTGCTGCTGGTATACCTGCTTCAGCGAAAGTTCATGGATACAATCCCGCAGATAATGGTATTTCCCGGTATTCTACGAATACCGGACGCAAGCGAGCTTTTCGCAGAGCCTGTGAAAGAATACACAGGAGCCAACTGGGTGGAACTTGGTATAGAGGCAGATGGATAACTGCATCTGAACTGCATGCTGGAAAGCCAAACGATCGCTCTGGAAGACAGCGTGAGGGTCCCAAAGCTGCAGCGGCCAAGCGGGACTCGATTGCGAGACTTTCCTTTCTGAGCTATAACATTGGCGGCATAAGTACAGACAGTTATGACGCTTTTGCAAACTGGTTGCAGGATCAGACACAAGCACAAGTGGTTGTTTTGCAGGAGATTCACAGGGGCTTGGGAAAGGAAGATACGTGTTTTCAGATCGGAAGTTGGTATATAATGACCTGTGTTGATCCAAACAACCGCTTCTCAGGAGTTGCGGTCTGCGTGTCGAGCAAGCTGATTTCTTTTTCTGACCTCAGGTTCGCCACGATTGTTCCTGGGAGACTCATGCATGTGAGGTGCCTGCCACATGATTTCAATATTGACATTGTTGGCATGTATCAATGGGCATGGAATACGCAGCATGTTTCCCTTACAGAGCAGCGCAGACATCGAGTTTGGACCTCAGCTGGACGCTTGCTCTCGCAACTGCCACGCAGGAACATGTTTTTATGGTGCTGTGATGCAAACACGCCTGTAGTCCCCAAACAATCTTACGTGGGTAAAGGGGTTATGAAGTCTCAGCACGTACAGACTCATGTGGATGAGTTCATGGAACTGATTGCATCAAAAGTGTTTTGAATTCGTGGAAGAGCTACAGACGGTCAGTTGCGGGCACCTATGTCGGCACGGACATATGCACTCAGATTGATTTTCTTATTTCGAGGAGAAGCATGTCTGATTAGCAGAGTAGACAGGCGCAGCCGGTTGATCTCGATCTAACTCCGTGGAGACATGGTGCTAAGCATAGGCCTATTTGCGGCAGCATTCATTTTCGTGGAGATTGGCAGAAGTTTCAAGCAAAGCGGGGGTTGACGCTGAAGTATGATAAGCATTCCGTGGACAAAATGCTCACGACTTGCAGCGAGGTTAGAGCCAATTTCCGAGCGCGAGTAGAGGCCGAACTTCAACGACTTCCCCAAGCCGAGCCGTCACACATTAATCGCACTCTCCTTACGATTTGTGCAGAAATGTTTCCTCCCAAGAGCAGACAATCAGATACTGTTCAGAGGGCTCGGGTGACAGATTGTGTCAAGACCTCACTGCGTGAGATGTGGATCAGATTCAGAGCCATGAAACACGTAGCTGCTACTAGGCTGCCAGGGAAGAGAGTTCTGCATACTTTCTTTAGTCAGTGGAGATCTGCCTGCGGCGCACAGCGCCAGAGCCCGGTTGCCTTGCAGCTTCGTACCAAGGGGAACCTTCCTGGGTCAAGCCAATTCAAGCGCAGCTTTAGGGCCTGGAAGCTTTATGCTAGGTTTATGGTTGCCCATAAAACCTTTAGACAACAAGGTCGGACCAGGAGAAAGGAGATTCTCTTAGAGAAGCTGCGTAAAGCCGAAAATGCTGCCAATAGCCACCTGCCTGGGGAGCTTTATAAGGCCATTCGCGATATAGCCCCTAAACGGAAACGCGAGAAGGTTCAGATTAGGTCTGTCGAAGGTAAATTCCTAAACGTGAATGAAGAAATGACCGAGATCCAGCTCCACTGTCAGCATGTCTTTGGTACCGGAAGCTTCTGCATGGACACCTCTACCATGGACCCCTTGGGTATTGAGGCGTCGGAAATTTCAGTTGCCAGAATGAAATCACAGACGGGCAAGGCTGTCCCGACGGATAGCGCTCCGGTTGCAGCTTGGAAAGCTTGCTCTGCCATGCTATCCGACAGGCTTAGTCAACTTGCCAACTCTCATTGGCGTCAAGGTGCACTATGGTATCCACACACATGGGCAGACAGCCATTTGGCGCTCATCCCCAAGCCAGGTAAGATGACAAAACGCCCCAAAGACTTACGGCCATTGGGCGTACAGGGCCCTGGAGGCAAGTGTATGGCAAGGATTTTGAAAGAACGCTTGTTGGCTGAAATAGGGCAGACCTTGCAAGATGTACCCCAATACGCTTATATCCCTGGAAAACCCATTGGTCAGGCCATTGCACGGGTTGCGAGCCATTGCTCCAGGATTAGGTCTAGGCTTAGAGAGGGTATGGAGACCGTGCATACACGACGACAGAAAATGCCCAAGGGACAAAGTAGGGGAGGGGCGCAATTAAGCATAGACTTAAGCCGAGCGTTCGATCTCCTTCCGCGGGACGTGATGCAGAAGGCTTTGCTTCACTGCGGTGCATCCAGCAATCTTACCGACCTCATTCTTTTCTTGCGTTGTAAGAGCGGATATCGCATCTCCTGCGGCAAACAAACTGCCTGCGTAGAAATGAAGAGAGGAGTTCGTCAAGGTTGCACGCTTGCGCCGGTGCTTTTCTCGGCCTTCACTGCGCACTATCTGCATCTTTTGGAAGCACGTGCCTCTAAGCAATGGGTCTCGTCAAATGCCACCTTGTTTGCGGATGACTCACACCTGGCCTGGGAGAGAGAGTCGGTGAATGATTTGAATCAAATGCAGAAAATGGTTCAGATCAGTTTTGCCCTCTTTGCCGAACTGGGAATGCAAGTGAACCCAGAGAAGTCTACTCTGATCTTCGGACTAAGAGGTAGATCTCTTCGCAAATGGGTTAAGAAAAGGCTCTTTCATCGTCAGAAAACACGCCTCGTCAATTGGGGCACTCCGACTGAGCCTTTGCAAATACCGGTTCAGGACAAGATGGTTTACCTTGGCGTTGTCATGTCCTATCAGCAGTTTGAACTTCAGACATTGCAGCGCAGAATGAAGGTAGCTACCGTGCAAAAACGCAGGTTGGTGAAGGTCCTACACTCAGCGCGTGCAATCTCGCTTAAACATAGGATTAGGGTGTGCTTGGCCTGCGTCAGATCCATGACCATGTACGGATTGCATGCTGTTGGAGTTGGACAGAAGGCAGCTGTACGCCTTTGTAGTTTTGAGAACCGGCGCTTGCGTGCGCTTGCAAGGTCGCCTGTGCATATCACCAGGGAAAGCACCAGTCAGCTTTTCGCGCGTCTAGGTATTACCCCCACTCTTGAATACCTGACCCGCTTTCTGAGTAGGAGAATCCCGAAGGTGGATCCACAGACGGCGCAGTGGTTTACGCAGAAGCTTGCAGAGCTTCAAGCTTGCAGTGTTCCGGCCAGTGCGAACACAGAGCCAGCCGATCACAGCACTTTGCTCCCGGTTCGAACAGACTGCAAGCAGGAATCATGCCCAACCTGTGGCCTCTACTTTGCAGACCTCAGTTCGATGCGTAAGCGCCGTGCCAAGAAGCATGGTGTGTCACTTGTCAATCCGGCCGTTAAGAGCTCAGCTGACAGAGCTGCTTTGGATCTAGCGCCCCGCATGGTTGATGGTATGCCTAAATGCCCTCATTGTCTTAAGGTTTTCCCTAGACCTCAGGGTTTAAGAGAGCATATCATAGCAGATTGCCCTGTGTTACACGGATCCAAAGCATCTGCAGGGGACTCCGCTTGGGCATCCGTGCCGGGAGTCCCCAACAGAGCCTGTGATCCTCAGAAGCTCGGTGCGACAAGTGCTTGCCGGAAACTCATGGCGCGTTCTCCTGAAACAGCCTGACTTGCTGGCTGAGCTGAAATCATTTTGCGTCATTTGCGGTCAGTGGGTTGCTGAGGGAGCAGGCATGAAGACTCGCGTTCGCAGATGCCGCCCAAGTGCGTGGAAACACAAGGATACCGCTGTTGCGCGTACGTCTCAAGCTGCGTTCCTGAAAGGCACACCCTGCCATTATTGCTCTCTTGAAACTAAGCAAGCGGGTCAGCACCTCAAGAGCTGTGTCGTGCTTTTTCAAGCGGCGCTTGCAGACATTTTGATTAAGGACTATGGCGGAAACTCCAGCGAC